CGTGGTGATGGCTTGACGTTTGACCCTGACGACTGTAGCATGGACAAGCCCGACGGAGGCGAGAGTAAGGAGAGACAATAACTTGACCATGACTCCTGGAGGCAAAGAAGAGATGAACATCCAACGGTATGAATGCCAGGGCTTATGTACTAGTCAGCCTTCAACTTGAGAGGGGGAAAGTGGGGTATGAATGTTGTCCTCTCGTCAAGGGAACAAAGACACCTGCCATCGAAGCTCTGTACATTGGAGCGACCACAATGCGGTGCTACAGTAGTCCGTGCCTGTCAATCGGTAGAAACATCGAGCTCCAGACGAAGTCATACGGGGGTAGGTTATATTAGCGTGTAAATTTACGCTTATTGAAACACCATAGGAGATGGTGAACCACCTGTTCGCGCGAGAAACGACAGCATGGGTAGAGGCAAATCGCGGTTCCTGGGAAGTATAACGTCTCCTTATGGGAACGGTCTGTGCGGAGGTGAACAACGAATCGTAGTTGTTGTCCCCAGTGGCGCTGGCACGACGCTGGGAAAAGCCGCAACAATGACGGCGCCAGCGTCACGGTGCCCGTCGAGAAGACTACCGCCGAAGTTCACACAAGGGGGCAGTGCACACACGAACAACGAAAGGCCATCAGTCCGAAGCATTTTGACTGAGATTGCGGAGTCCCCTAGAACCTAGAACGGTGTCGTTACGGAGATTATACGTTGCTGGACTCGGAGCTCATGCTCAGGCTGCCGCTAGGACATCAAATACTGCGGTCAGTCCCCGATTAGCAATTTAGCACGCTCGAGCCTCGATGATCAATGTACTCCGAATTTGGGGATCAACTACATTCGATATCAACCTGACAGCCGCTAGAAGAATGACAAAGGTGGATCTTACTACTATATGTCCAATTGAGGAGCTTGCGCCGACGTGCTAAACGTACTGGGATACGTGGACGAAACCATCATCCATTCATCACGTGGGAACTTTCTCATGCTCAGGCTCAAACTGACTGGGTCCAGGGGACGACGATGATGGTGACCATGAAAGAAGATGATGGACTATAGATAGGGCACTACTATTCTATTTTATTTTGATCTGGACCGAAGTCCGAGAGGTAAGCGTATACGAGTCCGGTCCGAGCACGCGACTCCTTTCCGTTGATCCGTTGGGCGGTGCGGCGTCTGCCAGTGGCGCTTGCCTCCCCTTGCTTCTCCGAGCTGAACGAACTGCCAACCTCACTCTGCCCTAATGTCATGGGTCCGCAACACCGCCATTTTCGCTCGACGGGCGACCGCCCCGCGTCTGAACGAGACGCTCTTCGCGATGTAATGCTTCCTCATGAAACTCCAAGTGTACGACAATGAAGACGACAACGATGCCCAGGATTAACAGCGACATATACGTGGCAGGATCTTTCTAGTCAGTGCAAGCGGTGGTCTTACCTCTACGTACGTCCCTTCCTTCTTCCTCCCTACTAAAAAGAAAGGGAAAATGGATGGTCTTCCCCCCCACAGGCTGCTCAAAATGCCGATTGAACCCATCAAGATCCAGCAATAAAAACAAGTCCTCCCCGCCATTCACGAAATAGGAAGGCGCATATCCCCCCGTCAGCGTCTGCATCCATGCGTGCCGTCGAGGTGTCATCGGCTGGATAGCAACGACGCTGCGACGTTCCCTTTTGACTTTCTCAAGACACGGTTGCAAGCAGGTGCCATCATGGGCTTGGACACGGGCTTGGACACTGCCTAGGTACGTCGTGGCGCACGGCACGCAGATGTACGCCGAATATGGCGGACGTGTCTTTTAGCGCGTTTTGGTGCCCACCTTCGTACGCCGCGCTTTACCAGTCAACATGGCCATGTTTTAGCACGTTCGAAGGTGTCGTCTAGGCATTGTCAAGAATGAAAAGTTTCTCTCCATCTCGCGCGTATGTGCGCACACAAACAGCCAAAAAATGAATCGCCTCGGACCTGGTTTTGTGTTCGTTCGTGATGCGCAGACGAGGACAGCGGGGCCGTGTGGGGTGCAACCAGCAAGTAGGTAGGAGAACGAGGAAAGACTTTGTTGTTGCAACATGCGTCCCCTTTCCGAGTCCGAGATCTATCACACCATTCCTATCTACTTGTTGTGCCTCTTCAGCTCTTCAGCATTCAGACTGACGAGTCGATCCATACCGTCCTGACATGCACTTCCAAAGGAGCTCAAGCAACCAGACGTTCGTGGCCGACGTTCTTCCTGACGGAAGTGGTGCAATCACATGCCAATGTCCGGACCGAGCAGGCTACATTATCATGGCGACACTTTCTCTGTCTTCTGTCTTTAGAGGAACCTCTCACCTTGATCATCGTCTAAATTACATGCGTTCGCGCATACGTGTACCTACTTAAGTACGGTACCCAATCTCTTGTCCCCAGAGTGCCCAGACACCCTCTCCCATTCCCTCGCTCTTGTTCCAACTTCCAGCATGGCATGTACTGCACATCATTCGCCTGAATAACGAAAAGGCTACGCGCAGCTGATAGGTGGTATCACCTCGATGCCGGCGTGGTCCAAATGAGCAGACATGATCCTCTTATCTGCCGTTTTGGACCGCTGGCACGCGCTGCATCCTTGTGAAAGCGGTGCACTGTTACGGTTTGTCTCCACATTGCACATCAAAAAGGTCTCGACGGGCCTGGGTAGTTAATGCCGCAAAAAGGCATGGATGGACTACTTCTCTCCAAGGTTTACTTTATATATTTTTGTCTTTTACGTCATCTACAGTAACTCCTAGTGCTGCCAGTGCCAGTGGCCGCATCCAAGATCATAAACACACCCACCTCGAAGCCGAACTCCCAGTAATCGAGTCTACCTCTCGAGTGAGTATCATGTCTTCGTCTTGTCGCTTTATTCTACAAATTATTTTTAGGTCGCTCTTCGACTTCGAGAAGCGTATCCCGTTCCGGACCCGGGAGGAATCGTCTGTTGGACCGCCCAACCCTGATTACCTCGGGTTCACTTTGCTATCGCTAAAGTTCTATATGTCAGTGGGGTGGGGTCGCTGAGTACATGTGGAGTGTCGAAAAGGATGCTGAAGATAAAGGGACTTTGCGCTCAAATGGGGAAAACGGATTTCGCGTCGTACACTTTGGTCTAAATAAGCAACGCTACAATAACGCTTTGACTCTTTTCGATGTTCACTTGGAGCTTACAATAATGATGTTTTTTCTAGCAATGAAAATATTACAGCCTTTCGCTCTGCGGGTTCCAATCATCACCCGATCGCCTATTTCAACAACTCATCTTCCTCATGATGTCAGACCCGCACATCCCTGAGATTCTCATGTTCACGACTGAACTAGCGCGAAAAGCAGGTGCATGCACTCGAGGGCTTGTGCGCGACCCAACGTGTGGGCGGGCAGCGTAGGCGAGAAGAAGATGGACAGTCTCATCGCGCAGTTCAACGTCAAAGTCGAGGAACTTCCAGTCCTTCTTTACTTTGTAGTACTGTTGTATTTTGGTGTGAAGAGTCTGTACCACCAGGGCGTGATAGGCAGGGGATGACACACGAATCACTTCATCCCGAACCTGAGGTCTTTCGGACGGTGAGACCCCCTCACAGGGCAGGACCAGGTCTGGAAAAGAACATACGGCCCATCAAGTAAGGTGGTCGTTGGTGATTCAATTGGTACGCTGGGAGGTGGCGTGAAAAGAGGAGAGGTGTGAAAGAGTGCCAGCCCTGCAGAAGTCCACGTCGACAAGAGTAAATAGGATAGAACCCGAACCACGATAAATCGCTCCCTGGACCACCCGATCAGAAAACGCCGCAACTCAAGCTTAGACGAGGCGATCGAGTCTGGCGGGTCACCTCAGGCCGCGTAGGTAGCTGAATACGCAAAGTACACAACCATGGATGTGAAAAGAACGATATGATTATTGGCATACCATGTATGGTCCGTGAGCGTAAGAGGGTCTCCACACGTTCTCCGGGACCTTTGGTATTAGCGCATTGGGGCGAGGCACTGTACAAAAGGGAGATATAGCCACAGAGAAGGACGTTGCTTTCTTTGACAGATGGGCGTGCGGAGAATATGGAGGTGAAGTAAATGGCATGTCATAGCACAGAGTACGAGTAATACAACAAGGCGCGACGACGAATACTCATTTCTGCAACAAGAAAAAAAATGGCAAAGGCTGCATCAGTAGAGTCCAAGGGAAAAAAAAGGAGGTACACACAAGAATGATGCCCTCGAACCGCGACTTATACCACGCCATCGTATCCTCCTTCGTTACTTTATGCTTATGGCCGATTCGCGCCTTCTTAATCTTCCGCTTCGCAACGCGGTTCCCCGGGCGGCCCATGACGATGTAAAAGTCCATACCAAAGATACCAATCCCGGGATCGTATCGTGCACCAAGGTCAATGTGCTCCTGAATCCCAAAACCAAAGTTGCCCGTCTCTGAAAAGTTGCGTCGACGGAGCTCGTACTCCTTCACCTTGAGACCGCGCTCGAGAATCTCCTCCGCTTTAGGCCCACGAATCGTGACGTGAACGGCAATCTTTTCGTTGCGCCGGATACCGAACTGACGGACGGTGTAGCGGGCCTTGGAGAACACTGGTGTCTGGCCCGTGAGTTGTTCGAGGACTTTGGACGCTCGCGTCAGACGGTCACCGGACTCTCCAACGGATATGTCTGTGAAAGGGCGGACAAGAAGGCGAATCTGCGTCAAGGCGGGATGGAAAGTAACGTTGGCAGAACATACTGATGACGAGCTTTTCAATGCGGAGATCACGCATTGCGTTTGTAGGAGTTGCTTTTGCCTCGGACTTAAGAAAGGGGTGTCAGTACCGTCCCAAATATCGTGCAGCGATGTCGCTCACCATTTTGAAAATGTTAGATATTTTGTCTCGTCGTCGCTGTCGTCAGTCGAGCAAGTCTCACACGGCTACGGTGGCTTGCAGCTGTACAGTTGGTCAGCGGCAATCTCCGTGCCTTCCTGCCACCCGGTCGGAACCTCGACTTTACGGCGGCCGATTACAGTAGCTCAGTTGGTTCGAGCGTCGTGCTAATAACGCCGCGAAGGTCTTGGGTTCGATTCTCACATTGGCCATAATATTTTTGCAGTTATACCTGATCGTACTTGTATGAAGCTGTCAAAGCCACCGTGTACTCTATTTGAAGGACATGAAGGAGGGGCGACAATGACAGGCAGGGCGATCAATCATGTGAAAAGAGAGCAAAAGAGAGCAATATTACCGTAACGTAACTTCCAAGAAAGGCAAAATGAGGACCGTCTCTTGCATCAACCTCCGTTTGTCCGGTCTGTCGTCGATGTACATAATCAATCGTTCCCAACTGCCACTCTTTCATCTCCACTCTCTTCCTCTCCCATGTCCATGTCCCCTCCCGTTCCTCATGTCCCTCCTTCACCCCCTCACCCCGACATCTTATCACACTCCACCATAACCAGTTCCAGGTAATCCGCTGTCTCACATCGTGCCCCATATGGCTCTTTCCAATGATCTATCCCAGGTCTCTCGATGAAGTTCTTTCATCAACATCGCGCCGCGCAGCTGCATTCGAACAGCAGATCAAGGCCCTTGAGGTCCGTGCTTGTCACGTAACCGTCATGCCACCGACTTCACAGCCCAGCTAACTACCATATACTTTTCCACAACAGGAGAAGCTCGCAGAGGACCTAAGCAACTGCCGCGCGATTGAAAGTTCACTCAAAGATACCTTCATCAGTGTCAAGGTATGCGATGCCACCCAACCACAGCCTCCGATGGCTAACACTAAGGTCTCTAGCGCAACTACCGCCGCGCGGACAAAGACGCCTTCCGTACGCACGTGCCACACATTGACGCCGAGCTTGACGAAGTGCTCAGTGTGCTCAACGAGCTGGAGATCCAACTGCCAGCCATCCACACCCAAGCCGCGCACCTACGCCGTCTGTACGACTCGAGCCGTGAAAAGGTTTCTTCACACCTCATCCCTCTCACCCTCTATCCCTGCGTTAGTGGGATGCTGACGCGCACCTTTCTTTCTTCCGTTGCATATAGGCCCAACTTCTGGTAGAGGACCTCCGCTGGTTGAACCGCGACTTTAAGAGCCGTTGGCGTACCGTCATTTTCTCGCGTACGAGCCCGGTGTCGTGGCGCTGGCGTGCGACACTTCGCACGCTGTTTGCGCTCACATTTGTTTTGGTTGCGTGGGGCACGTGGATTGCGCTTCGAGGCGCATACCGTGCTCATCGGCTGCGCCTAGTATGGGGCGAACGGCTCATTTCCTAGTTACCCCGGTGTGACTCGGCAATCCACAGATGGATTTTTTTTTCTTCTTTATGAACCAGGCATTCATATATACCCGATCTTGGCTCTTAACATAATTGTAGCATACGTATATTCCAAGAATAACCCGCACCGTGCCCCAATAATCTTCCGCTACGTACGTGAGTTGCATCTACTGTAGTATCCGAAATTATGCGACGCGAATTTGGGAATAACGCAGACTGGCACTTTTTTACCTGTAAGATAATGATAACTTGCTAGTGCCATGACGTCACTGTATGCGAGCTGTACGGTACATACAGTACGTACTGTACTCTATGTCCGCGGACATGGCAAGGGACAAGGCAAAAAATAATAATTACAGTACTACCGAGCAACTCGGCAACAACGCAAGTCGCCTATCCGACCGATCTGATGCATCCATGACACCCAGTCGCCGCCGGGCTCATCTGCGAGCCTTTCGCAATACGCACTACCTACAGTGTAACGTTGTTCAAGATAAAAGACCTGGAAAGACCGGCGGCGGCGCTTCGTCAAGTGGGCATATAAAAAAAGCTTTCGTCTCGTCATGCCACGATGAGCCAGAGGAGAAAGCTCGGGCGCAAAATGGGGGGAAGTAAAAATTGCCAGTTTGTTGAATAATATCCTAACCATTCTTGTTACTTTATTTCATCCATGAGGGTTTCTACCGTGACAGCGGCGATGATGTTGGGCCATTTGCGACCCTTGTGCTGAGAGTTTACATTCCAAGAGTCTTGGAACGTGAACTCTCAGCACTTGGACCAAGACAGCCCACACTGAGTGCGGAACGGAACGCCGGAGCACCTGAATCGATCAGATCATACCAGGACCATTCATACCAACTATTGTAGCAGACAGGACATTGGCAGCACCACGTGTGCACATATTCAGTAACTAGTACACATACATTCCTTAGTCCCTACTGTAGTCTCGGGGCAGTGAGCCCTCACAGTACACATAAATACAGCAAGGATACTAGCCACTTGCTCCCTCGGTTATTGTGGCGTACGCACAACCACTGAGGTGAGCAAGCTATCTGACATACTTACAGTTATCGCATGACCACTGACTCAATAATATATATTTGAGCTTATTATGATTAATCCCGATCATATTGAGTAGACCAGATATCTGCTCAATCATGTCGATGCACCCTCTGTAGCATGCCAGTGATCAGGCTTCAATTCAATCATAGGATCTAGGTTCGGGCGGAGTCAATAATACATTTCCTTGCCACTCTCGGGCCGGGCATTGTTGAAATCGAGCTCTAGTGTTGCCGCGGTCCAATGCAAGCCAATGCAAGCCGGTAACTTGGTTTCAGCTTGCACCGCCAAGCTGACACCGGTGTGACTTACAAGCTCGGGGATCGCGGGCTAGTTTTCCAGCCAATGAAAATGATTCGATTTGAAACCTTCTCACGGTAGAGTTGTTCGTCTGAATCGTCTCGTTTTCGTTTAAGGATGTAGAAGACACTTTTTTTAACTGAGGATAGTATATACAATGACTAGTAGTAGACTATTGTTGCCAAGCACTGTCCATGTTTCGCAATAAATCTAATAGCTCGTCACATTTTGCCGAGGACACCAACTCATTGATAGCAGCTTCTGTCACGTGCCCCACCTCGCCCTGTCGTGTTGTTTTTACGTTTTCGACGGTTTGAAGGGGAAGGAACTCCCTGTGTAGCGGGAGGGATAACGTTGGGTGGAGGCTGATAGTGATGGATGTGAGATGGCGAATTTGGGGAGTGGGGGTTATTGTACAACGTCTGCGGGAATAACGTGTAGCCTTGAGCGCCATGAAGATTGTGGGGGTCACGAAATTCGTTGGATTCATGAGGGGCATGATGGAAAGTTGAAGGATACTGAGGGGGTGTGAATCGCGAGGGTGTTGAGGGGTTAGCAAACCGAGTTGATGGTCCGGGATAAGGATGGCCTAGCCACGGCGGCCTTGGTATCTGAGACCGTGATGGTGAGCAATTGTAGCCACCAGAGCCATTCGGGTCTGGAGATACGCAAAGAGGGAGGGTCATCCATGTGTATCAGACATGAATAGTCGGCACTTGACTCACACTGGGACATTTTGAATCAGAGTCAGTATTGTGTGTTGCGATTACGAAAAGGCATTCTGACATTCTGACAAGTGACAACGACATGACCGTACTCTAAGCGTGTGGGAAAGTTTGTAACTACAACTTGTGAGTCACACCGGTGTTAACTTGGCGGTGCAAGTTACTACAAGTTACGTGATTTGCAAGCCAAGTTCAAGTCACACCGGTGTCAACTTGAACTTGCAGCAACACTATCGAGCTCGCACGGACCATTTCCCTATCCATCTTAGTACCGTTTTAATGCCATACTAATTTCCCACACACATTACAGTAGTATATAGTTGCATGTAAATACTCTCAGGCACCCTCGCGCGTTTACTACCCACCCTCCCTAATCCCATTCGTTTTCCCACACGGCGCCCAGTCCTATCCCTCATGGTTGCCATTTCCTCCCCAGCCAAGGTCCTCGTCACAGGCGCCAATGGGTATCTCGCCACTTGGGTGGTGAAGAAGTACCTAGAAGCAGGATACTCTGTGCGCGGCACAGTTCGCTCGTTATCTAAAAGCGCCTTCCTCAACGATAAATTCGCTCATTACGGGGATCGATTGGAGCTCGTCGTTGTCGAGGATATCACCAAGGATGGTGCATTTGACGAAGCTGTCAAGGATGTCGACGTCATTGCCCACACGGCGTTTCCATTTCACTACATGTTTACCCACCCCAATGGTAATGTCCGATTTTCTTGGATACTCATCTCTTTTGGCATTCATCGCCAGACGTATACAGAACTCACAACCCCTGCCGTTCGGGCAACCACGTCGATCCTGAACTCTGCATTGAAGCATGGGAGTGGCCTGAAGCGTGTGGTCCTCACCTCCTCGTCCACGGCGATTCGCGAAGAAACCACCGTGCCGCGCACTTTCAATGAAAGCAACTGGAATGAAGCCTCAGTGGAGGCGGTGAAGACAAAGGGCTCTGCAGCAGGGCCTTTTGTGATCTATTCTGCCTCGAAGACACTGGCAGAGAAAGCTGCGTGGGAGTTTGTCGCTGCTCACAGGTCAGAGATCTCCTGGGATCTCGTTACCATCAATCCCCCCTGGATATTTGGGGCAAGACTTTCTTTTTGCCGGATGTTCGCTTTACAGCTGATGTCTCTCCACGCATACTGCAGCCTTCGCTCCGTCCCGCGCCGACAGTTAATGACATGAATCACTCTCAGCGCGAGATTTATGACACCCTGTCCGGCGCGCGGACAAGTACCAGTGTACAACTACGGGGTCAGGGGAACTGGGTCCACATAGCGGTCGCTGCAGAGGCGCATGTGCGCGCTACACATGCTGTAGCTGCTGGTGGCCAGCGCATCATCGTCAAATCGGGTACCTTCTTTTACCAAGATCTCCGTAAGTTTCATATTCCGTTCCTGTCTTACATACGATAACCCGACGGATATGACGTGCAAAACAAGTTGATGCGGCAGCGGAGCTCGGTATCTCAAATGTGCCGCGAGGAGAGCCAGGGTCGACAGCGGGCCTCTCTTTCCTTGTCAATTTCGAGGCGAAGAAAGCGGAAAAGCTGCTTGGGCTGACACAAGTGAGGCCTCTGAAAGGTCTGGTTGCGGAATTGGTGGAGGACTTTAAAGCGCGTGGATACCCAGGATTCACGGCATAGGTCTATCATCACTACCACGAGTAGGGTGAGACTGAGATCACTAAGTTGTTCAGTAAGATATCTGGTTCCCGTTTGGAGCGGAA